CGCAGATATTTCAATCTGAAGGCTGGAAGGAGGGGCAAGGCAGCTGCACGATCCGCTTCTGCAGACCTCATATGTTTTCCCCGTGGCGAGGCTTCTGGAGAAGCTTTCCCTGTGGAAGAGTGGAAAGAAGAGGACACGTTTAGAAGCCACACCCCAGACTTGGAAAGAGACGACACATATTCCAAGCTTTCCAGCCCTTCTTGGTCCGACCCTCAACCCAAGCCTCATTTCAAGCATCGTTCCAAACCTGCACCTTTGGTGCCTCGAACCTACACTGTATCTTTCCCCCTGGAGCCTCCTGTCGTCAGTCCCTTAACCCCTGAGTCGCAGCACTCTGTGGGCACCACAGGTGGTGTGGGTGGTGGGAGCGGTGCAATTGGTGCTGGCATTGCTGGTGGTATGGGTGTTGTTGGTCCCATGTGTGGTGTAGCCTCTGCAGGTTTCAACGTGGGTAGTGGGAATGGCGCGAATTGTGCCGGAAAGGCTGCTGTCGGTGTTGCTGGTGGCGCTGCTGCTGTTGCGCCTGCTGGGGTTGTGAATGGTGCGGCTGTCATTGCTGGTGGTGCTGGTGTTTCTGGTGTTGTTGCTGCTCCTGGTGTCACTGGGCTGGCATCCTCCCCAGCCTGCTCTCCCAGTCCAATTTCGTCTATGCCTCTGCACAGGGTGAGGCGATCACAGTCACATGACCAGGGACCAATGGGAGCAGGACAACTGAGCAGGCAACTGCTGCGTACGTCAACAATCGAGAAGCAGCCTTGGTTACCCGCCAGGAGGTACGGACAAGGGGTGCTGCAGCATGGACGGCTGGAGGGGCAGCAGAGGTCGTCGTTGGATGATAGATGGATGGCACAGCAGCAGCAGCAGCAGCAGCAGAAGCAGCAGCAGCAGCAGCAGCAGCAGCAGCAGCAGCAGCAGCAGCAGCAGCAGCAGCAGCAGCAGCAGCAGCAGCAGCAGCAGCAGCAGCAGCAGCAGCAGCAGCAGCAGCAGCAACAGCAGCAGCAGCAGCAGCAGGAGCAGCAGCAGAAGCTGGCGTATTTAATTCAGCAGCAGCAATTGCAGTTGATGCACCAGCAAGAGGAGCTGCAGCTGCTGCAGCAGCATCAGGAGCAGCTCAATCGCCTCCAGTGTCACCTGCCCTTCCGCAGTCAGTCCACTCCCTCCATGACACCTGCTGCTCTCACCTCCTCTTCTCTGACCTTTACTCCCGGCTTTGCTGGTGACGTTGCTTCTGGCGCTGCTGCTGGCGTTGCTACTGGTGCTGCTGCTGCCGCTGCTGCTGCTGGTGTTCCTTCTGTCGCTGCTTCCGGAGCTGGTGCTGAAGATGCAGTCTCCCACTCTCACCGTGTCCCTCCGTCCCCCGCCAATCCAACCACCAACTTCGATGGTACGGCCCGCTGGCATGGATTCAGCAACACAGAGAAGTGCGGTGTTGATGCCTTGGAGCATGATGCCTCTAAGGGAGCCAACGGCTACGGGACTGGTGGTAGAACCCTAAACCCTGGCAGCAGTGGAATAGATGTCGAAATGCAGGAACCTGCAATAGAGGACTTCAGGCCTGCATACAATGCTGGTGCTACTGACCAGCCTACTGCTGAGCACCTTTCTCCTCCTCACCCCGCAGCCAACCTGTTGCTCCTGAGAGACACGGAACACTCTGCAGTTGCTGCCTGGGGCCTCACCTCCCCACCTTCTCGCATCCATGGGGCAGCGAGTCACCGCTTCGAGAATAAACTCAATGCTGTCCCATTTATGGACCAGTTGGGAGTCACTGGAGTAGGTTTGGAGGATGGGGGGAAGGGGATCGATGCAGGAGAGTTGTCATATACAAGGGATTTCGAGCATGAAGCATCACCTACCCATGGTGCTGGAAGCTACACCATTGATGCGCTCGAGAGGTTCTTGATGGACAATGGGGAGCATAGGGAATAAGTTAGGGGTGAATTACATGTATTTAGCTCCTAAATTTATTGAATAGGCATTTTTTTGTTTGTTTGTTGATTTATAACAGAAGTGTGCTCATGCGCATGTGTGTGTGTGTGTGTGTGTGTGTATGTGTGTGTGTGTGTGTGTGTGTGTGTGTGTGTGTGTGTGTGTGTGTGTGTGTGTGTGTGTGTGCATGTGTGTGTGTGTGTGTGTGTGCATGCATCTGTGAATGTGTGTTTGTGCATGTGTGTGTGCGTATGTGCGTGTGTGTGTGTGTGTGTGCGCGCGTGCGCGTGAGCGTATATGTGTGTCTGCGTGTGTGTGCATGGGAAATTATACCAGGGAAGGAATGATGGCCACGCAGGAGTCCACGAAGTTACCAGTTGTTTTTCTTGGTAAGCGGATTGGGTGGATGGGACTGCATCTGGTGGCACAGCCTCGTACCATGACTTGTCCCTGCCATGCTGCTCCAACACTTGCTGCCAGCATGTCGGCAATATCCCGGCATGTCAATGCATGTGATGATGCAACCATGCCATGTTATGATGCCATCATGTCATCGTAACACCATACCATCATGTTACCATGACTCATACCATCATGTCCTCATGACCTTATCTAACCATTCCATTATCGTCCCATCATGCCACACACCCCAACTCTTAAATACGAAAGAATGATCCCAAAGGAGGAGGGGCAGAGGAGAAGGAGCTGAGGTAGAGGGGCAGAGGAGGAGGAGGAAGAGGAGCAGACGATGAGGAGCAACGATTGGCTGGACGAGCACCTACATGATAGGCGGAATCGTATGGTGTGGATGATTATGTGTTGCTGATTGACATATTATTGATTGAATGAATTGGTAATAAATGTAGTTGCGTTGAACTGAACTGTAATCGGGGCTTCATATGTCATGGTCCCTTGCTGAATGTTGATTGAATATATGTTTTGGTATGTTCATCAATAAGGCGGATGTGCTGTAACCCACTTGACGAAAAGTATCGTAAGATGCGACAACGCCAGTTCCAATCGGGCTTGCTTGATCGACATGGATTGATACACGTGGTCGTGGTGTGAAAATGGTTACCTTCCACGTCACGGCACGATGCTCCATTTGATGCTCGACTTCCTCAGTCTCCATTCTCCGCAGTTTCAAGCAAGTGTACACTTTCCGAGCTCCCTAGAACACTCGCCACGTGTGCGGCTGAGCCGAACCAAGTGCAACGCGCGAAAGACGGAAATGCCAAACCAACCCAACGCGAATCACGCAATAGCCAACCAATCAGAATACACGGGAGGAGCCACTCCACTCCAAGCCCTTCGCCAGAATCACATCCCTGCGAGGTGTGTTCTGCACACTTCCAGCGTGCTTGTCAAAATGTTTTTTCGAAACTGTACAACCAATTTTTGAAGCCCTAAGCCGTCCGCGTGACGGGGAAGGGAATAAAATGGGAGTGTCCAGCACTGTACATCTGAAACCCTGAATCGTGCCCGTCACGGGGAAGCCAAAAGTACAGTGCATTATCAATTCAATCGGAGAGACCAGCCACTTGTCCAGCCGAAGATAACCCCTACTGGTCAACCACAAGCCCACAAATTCCAGAGCCCATTTTGAAGTGGAGCAACATACAGATGTGCAGCAACTGATTCAAACTCCCAAGTCCACCAGAATTGCAAAACTGCTACCAGCAGTAGGCATTCACTATACAGTAGCTAGCTAGCTAGCTCGCACGAAGCAACCCTAGAGACTACTACTAATAGAAAATATAGTGTCTTTCCTGGGCCGCTGCCTGTGTTGGCAATTGCTAATTGAACAGTTCGGCGAATTGGCAGTGGCGCCAAGACTGCCTCAGGCAGCTCCTGAATTGTGGATTCCATTCAAATGGAAAGGTAAGTATTTTTATTTGTTGGCACCTCAAAACTATACCACGTGGGACAGCTGGGAGTGATAATTCTACTCCCCCCTCTTGGGAGACCTTCTGATTTTTTTTTAGCCTCCTCAGTCCTCCATTCAAGCCGCCAGCAGCATCAGCAACGGTAGCCAACCGTTGGCTGAGCGAATAGATGATACAGCAGCAGATGCCATTCCAGAGCAGCAGATTGCAGAATAGCGGATGCAGCAGCAGCAGATGCAACCAGAGCAGATGCAACAACAGGTGCGACAGCAGCAGATGTCACCGCAGCAGGTGCCACAGCAGATGCCACAGCAGCAGATGCAAGATCAGCAGTTGCAACCACAGGTGATGGAACAACAGAAGATGCAACAACAGATGCTGCAGCTGCAGATGTCACAGCAGCAGATGCAACAACAGATGCTGCAGCTGCAGACATCACAGCAGCTGATGTCACAGCAGCTTGCACCACGGACCTATACAACGCTGCCACAACAGCCACAGCCACAGCTACAGGCTCAGCAGGCTCAGCTACAGGCTCAGCTACAGCCACAGCTACAGGCTCAGCTACAGCCACAGCCACAGCCACAGCCACAGCTACAGCCACAGCTACAGCCTGAGGCTCAGATACAGGCTCAGCCACAGCCTCAGGTACAGACTCAGCTACAGGCACAGCTACAGGCACAGCTACAGGCTCAGCTACAGGCTCAGCTACAGGCACAGCTACAGGCACACCTACAGGCTCAGCTACAAGCTCAGCTACAGCCACAGCTACAGGAACAGCTACAGGCTCAGCTACAGGCTCAGCTACAGGCACACGTACAGGCTCAGCTACAAGCTCAGCTACAGCCACAGCTACAGGAACAGCTACAGGCTCAGCTACAGCCACAGCCACAGCTACAGGTTCAGCCAGAGCAGCTACCACCACTCCGGATCCAGCAGCTTTCCTTGCAGCTACAGCCGCTGCTACAGCCGCAATCGCTGCAAGCACTAGAAAAAAGTGAGTCTGCAGCTGATGCAGGGCCACCAGGGCCACCAGGGCCATCAGGGCCATCAGGGCCATCAGGGCCATCAGGGCCATCAGGGCCATCAGGGCCATCAGGGCCATCAGGGCCATCAGGGCCATCAGGGCCATCAGGGCAACCAGGGCCATCAGGGCTACCAGGGCGTTTAACCAGACGCAACAGAATGGCACGCAGCCGCAACTACAACCAGCCAGGGCAGTACCGGGGAGTGAGGAGGCGCGGGGAATTTCGTTACGTTGCAGAGATTAAAGACACCAAGGGTGGAGTCCGTAGGTGGTTGGGCACGTTCCCTTCCGCAGAGGAGGCTGCTCGGGCGTTTGATGAAGCTGCTTTGAATCTCCGAGGATCAAAGGCGAAGCTAAACTTTCCTAGGAGGCATATTCAGAACAGGGGAGGGGTAGTATGTTCGGATCTCGTAGCGCTACCAGGAGCGGCAGCTAGGATAGGAAGGGTTGCAGGGAACGATGGTGGAGGAATTGGCATCCGAGAGCAACAAACGCATGGGGTAGCAAGACTTGTTGGGCAGGGCAGTGGTAGTAGGAGCATTGGAGGGAAAGGGAAGGAGGTGGCACACGCTGAAGATGCCACAAATGAGGGATTGGTGGCAGAAGCTGTGGGTCAGTCGAGATTGTTTGGAGTGGGAACAAGTACGGGAGTAGCAGCGACTGTTGAGGTGCCTCAAAGGGCAATCGGAGAGGGAACAAGTAGGAAAGTAGAGGCGACATTTGAGGCGTCTCAAAAGCCGATCGGAGAGGGAACAAGTAGGAAAGTAGTAGCGACATTTGAGGCGCTTCAAAGGCCGTTTGGAGGGGGGACAAGTAGGGCAGAGACAGAATCAGCAGAAGGAACAGGTGCCAGATCAGGGGCTATAGAGCGATCTTCAGTACTAGCTGCACCTATGGGATGGGAAGGCGGCGGAGAAGGAGGAGGAAGAGGAGGACGAGGAAGAGGAAGGGTACGAGGAAGGGGACGTGGGAGGGGAGGAGGAGGAAAGGGAGGAGGAGGAGGAGGAGGAGGAGGAGGAGGAGGAGGAGGAGGAGGAGGAGGAGGAGGAGGAGGAGGAAGACGAGGGGAAGGAGAAGGAGGAGGAGGAAGAGAAGTAGTAGGCTTTGCAGCAGAAACGTCAGCAGGAAGTGATAGCGGGAGCAAAGCAGGAGGAGTATACATTCCGGAAGGAAGATCCACTGTAAGCGGTAGTAGCTCGAGCTTAGCTGCCCCTTCCTCCTCCTCCGCCCCTTCCACCTCTGCCAATTCTGCCTCTGCCTCCTCCGCCTCTGTCTCTGCCCTCCCATCCACCTTTGTTGATATCTCAGTCCCTGAAGGTGCACCCACCAGCGGTGATCTTCATGAAGGGAACCCAATGTTTAGTAGCGCCGCAACGAATCGGCACTTGATTTTACTGGAGAAGCTGCCAAGTGCTATGGTAACTGGACAGGGGTTGCTGGGATTCAATGTACTGGGAGCAGATCTGGAAGGGTTTGGTGGGTTGGGATTGGAGGAGGTGGGATTTGAGGGCTTGGCGGAAGGTGAGAGGGAGTTGTTCCATGAACTTGCAGCGCAGTTTGCTCAGCAGCTGGGGGGGATGGAAGAAACAAACGGGGCTGGATGGAGTGGGGTTGGTAATACGAAAGGCAAGGAGGAAGTGGAAGCACGGGAGATGCCTTCAGAGGAAGAAAGCAGTGGAAGCAGAGAGACCGTTGACAGGGAAGGTGCGATGGAGGAGGCGGGTGCGATGGAGACGAGGATGGGGATGGATGCGCGCCTGTCTGGCCGTGTTTCTCATGACGATAGGGTGGCGATGACGATGGGAGTGGGGCCTTCTGATCAGTATTTCCAGCTGCCTTGCACCAAGGACGCGGCTCACGAAAGCGATCGTTCGAACCAAGGATTGCCGAACCAGAGAACCGTAGGGATGGAGAGGCAGCAGGGAGGCTGTTCTATCTCTGAGGGCGAGAACGGTACTGGTATCCACATGATGGCAGTGCGGCCAAGCCAACAGGCCATGCCAGTCCAAGGAGCCATGTCTGCAGCAGTGGATCCTTCCTCCCAATCGCATTCAGGTCAACTGGGAGAATGGGGTCAACAGGGTCAACAGAGTCAACGGGGTCAACTGGGTCAACAGGGCCGAGAAGCAGGTGTGGTGGTAGGTGCAGCAGCAGGGGGTCCTTCTGGTCGTACGATAGGACTCCCACCACTGGCAGCCAGGCAGCAGGCTTTGGCAGCAGCGCAGCACGCACTGACAGGGGGACAGGCAGGGCAACATGCGTTCACAGGGGAACAAGCGTTGGCAGCATGGCAACGTGTGTTGGCTTGGGAGCAAACAGCAGGGGTGCCAGTCCCGGAACGCTTCGTTACACGGGCATCAAGCGAACCAGAAGCGGTTTCATGGGGTTTCAGTGTGGAAGTGGCTGGGGGTATGATGACGCATGCTGAGCATGGTTCTCCGCAAGAACCGGAGGAGGCGGTGGAGGTATGCAGAAGCATGTCAGGTTCAGCTCCAAGCATGCTCCCAAGTTGGCATGATGAAATGTTGCAGAATGCGCCTGCCATGACGTCCCCGTTTGGGCCGCTTCAGAGGGATGATCACGGCATGCGGTATGCTTTTACCATGTCCCGCAGATCTTCAGTTGTTGTGATTCCAAATGTGCGTCGGCATCACCAGAACCAACAGCAGCAGTGGCAGCAGCAGCAGCAGCAGCAGCAGCTCAGTTCATCAAGCTTTCCGCGGCGCAGCTCTTTCAATCTGAAGGCTGGCAGGAGCGGCAAGGCACCCGCACGGTGTGCTTCTGCAGGCGTCATACGTGAAGCTCTTCCCGTGGAAGAATGGAGGGAGCAGACTTTTGAGTCGACCCAAAAGGCACGGTGTGCTTCAGCAGGTTTCATACGTGAAGCTCTACCCGTGGAAGAATGGAGGGAGCAGCAGATGCTTAGAAGCCACACCGCATACCCGGCAATTGACGAAACAATTTCAAAACTTTCCAGCCCTCCTTGGTCCGAGCCTGCACCCCAGATTCATTCTAAGCCTCGTTCCGAACCAGCGTCTCCTTTTATCCGAAGCCACAGTGTCTCTTCCCCACTGGTACCACCCGCCATCAGTTCTTCAACCCCTGAGTTCCAACCCTATGTGGCCAACATAGGTGGTGTGGGTGTTGTGAGCAGTGCACGTGGCGCTGGTGTTGCTGGTGGCTGTGTTGTAGGTCCTATAGATGGTGTAGCTGCTGCAGCTGTCAATGCGGGTAGTGGGACTGGCGTGTATGGTACTGTACAGGCTGCTGCCAGTATTGCTGGTGGTCCTGGATTTGCTGGCGCCGCTGGTGTTGCTGCTGCTGGTGGTGTTGCTGCTGCTGCTGCTGTTGCTGGTGTTGCTCCTGTGGCTGGTGTTGCTGGTTCTGCTGGCGTTGCTGCTGGTGCTGCTGGTGTTGTTGGCGCGGCTGGCGTGGCTGATGTGGCTGGGTTTGCATACTCCCTAGCCCGCTCTCTCCAACCGAATTCAGCCATCCCTCTGCAAAGGATGGGGAGGTCACAGACCCATGAGCAGAGGCCAACGGGATCAGGACAGCTGGGCACGGAAATGCATCGTGTGTCAACCTTCCAGCCAGTATTTCCAGCCAGCAGGTATGCTCAAGAGCTGCACAAACGATTGGAGAAGCAGCCTCGGTGGCCCTTCGGACAAGGGGCACTGCAGAAGATACAGCTTGAGGGGCAGCAGAGGTCGAAGCTGGATGAGACACAGATGGCGCAGCAGCAGCAGCAGCAGCAGCAGCAGCAGCAGCAGCAGCAGCAGCAGCAGCAGCAGCAGCAGCAGCAGCAGCAGCAGGAGCCAATTCAGCAGCATCAGCAGCAGCAGAAAAATAATCAGCAGGAGCAACAAGAGTGGCAAAATCATCAGGAGCAGCAATTGCAGCAGCAGCAATTGCACTTGGTGCACCAACAAGAACAGCTACTTCTGCTCCTGCAGCAGCAAGAGCATCTCCCTCCATTTCAGCCTCATCTGCCCTTCCGCAGTCAGTCCACTCCCCCCATAACACCTGCTGCTCGGACCGCCTCCGCTGTGACCTCTACTGCTGCTGCTGCTGGAGGCATTGGTTCCAGTTTTGCCGCTGGCACTGCCACTGGTACTGCTGCTGTCACCGCTGCTTTTGGCACTGCTACTGACGCTGCTGCTGCCACCGCTGTTGGTGGCGCTGCTTCTGATGCTGCTCCCGGAGCTGGTGTTGAGGTCGCAGTCTCCCACTCACACCGTGTCCTTCTCCCCCCTGCCTATCCACCCACCAACTTCGATGGTATGGCCAGCTTGCATGGATACGGCAACACAGGGAAGTGCGGTGTTCATACCTTGGAGCATGATTCCTCTAGGGGAATCAACGGCTACGAGACTGGTGATGCTGGCAGCAGTGGAGGAGATGTTGGAATGCAGGAGTCTGCAGCAGAGGCCCAGCCTAGCACAGACCAGCTGTGTGCCACTCAGCCTAGTGGTGACCAGCATTATGCTACCCAGCCTTGTGGTGAGCAGCTGGATCTGCAGCAGCATATCATGGCAGACTTGACCCTTCCTCTTCCTTCTCCCTCAGCGGATCCGCTGTTGGTCCTGAGAGATGCTGAGCACTCTGCATTTGCACCCTGGCGCCTCATCTCCCCACCTTCACACATCGAGGGAGCACTCTTTCATAGTTTTGAGAATCATGCCTCTGCCGCCCCAGTCATGGCACCTTTGGAAGCAACAGGTGCAGGTTTGGAGGGTGGGGGGCAGGCTACTGATGCAGGAGGGTTGTTGTATACAGGGGATGGGGATTTCAGACATGTGGGGGCAATCACCCCTGCTGGTGCTGGAAGCTACACCATTGATGCGCTAGAGAGGTTCTTGATGGATAATGGGGAACATAGGGAATAGGCATTAGGGGTAAATTGCATGCATTAGGCCTTTCTGTTTTTCCATTAAGCATTTTTTTTTTTTTCATTTGTCAATAATAGTCTGGAGGGTGGGGGAGGAAAGGGGGGAGGGGGGGGAAGGGGGGGGGGGGGGGGGGGGGGGGCACGGGAGGGGGAGTTGTTTGTCTATTCTGTTCACTTCTCACATGATTATTATTTCCGCTTTAATAAATCCAAATAAATGCATGGACATAGACCACGTTGAAAGCTTACAGGTGTCTTCAGATTATGTCTTCATTGCTGTTTATGTTTTGTCCGCACAATACTTTCTCGCATGCCCTTAATGGTGCCCATCTGCCATCATGTGTTTTTCCTCGACTCCCATGCGCACTATGCCCACCTCCTCCTCCATCCCTCCCTCCCATTTCTCTCCGGATTTTTGTTTGTTTTATTGTTGAACTTTCCCAGCAAGCGTAAGTCGCAACCTTATCCATCCTCTCATTTCCCTTGCAAGCACACCCAGTTGTCAGTTTTGCCACTCCCTCTGCCTCATGATGACATCCATAGTCGTGATCTTCTATATGAGTGATTCAATGAAATTTGTTCTTCCCCACGTATTATTATCGTGTTTATTGCCCCTATAATTCTGTAGCACTTGATTGTTATGCCCAATCTATTTGTTACGCTAGACTTCAAGTTGTCACATCGAACCAGAACCTGTTTGGTACTACCATGATCCCATGTAGTTTTTCACCATTGCTACATGTCTTTTTATTATTACGAGATAATGTCCTTATCTATTTTCTCATCCCCCCTCCTTCATGTAGGTATTTCCATTCCATGAACTCGTGGTTTTAATTCGAAGTTAATTGAAATGTTGACTCTATTGTGATCTCGCCATGTATCCCAAAAATGTAACGGACTTTGAGGTTGTTCGGTGTAGAACGCTCACATAGATTTACATATGTAAACTTTATACGTACATGATTACAATCTCATGAGGAATATATTTTTCTCATGAAAAAACCGCATATCTGTAGAATAATTCAACTTCTGGTGCGAGTGTCACCAATACGCAAAGGATGCCGTCGATGTAACACTTGGTCTACCTACTACAGTCACATCGTACCCTTCGTTTGGCCAAAGGTGGGAAAATCGCATTTGCTCGGTTCAGTCTGTTACCGCCTCAAAAGTAGGGTTGTTGTGATAATAATCAAGTGGTCAGTGTACCCAGCAAAGGTTGTAGATATTGATGCAATCGTGTTGTGGTGCGAGTATGTGGCTGTCAACGGGAGTTGTGGTTGGCCCCGTCTTCGCTTGGGCGGAGCCGACTTCGTAGTCGGGTGTGCGGGGAGCGCAGCCGATCAGTTGCAGTGAGGGCGCCCAGCTGGAGGGCGCCGAGCGTGAGGACGCCGTCATGGGCGCTTGGACGGCGTCCTGGGAGGCTGGACGCCGACCTGGGCGTCTAGACGGCGTCCTGGGCGCCTGGACGCCGACCTGGGCGCCTGGACGGCGTCCAGGGAGGCTGGACGCCGACCTGGGCGCCTGGACGCCGACCTGGGCGCCTGGACGCCGACCTGGGCGTCTGGACGGCGTCCTGGGCGCCTGGACGCCGACTTGGGCGCCTGGACGGCGTCCAGGGAGGCTGGACGCCAACCTAGGCGCCTAGACGTCGACCAGGGGAAGCCGACTTGGTGTGGTCGGCTGACAGGTGTGCTGGTCGACCTGTAGTTGGTCGACCAGGAGGGTTGTCGACCTGGAGCTGGTCGACCAAGGTTGTGGTCGACCTGGTGAGGTCGACTGAAGGTGGTCGTCGACTTGGGAGGTCGACGGGCACATACAGAAGCAGCTGGTCGACGTGGTTGCCCGGTCGACCGGGTTACCTGGGTGACGAGGCTCTGCGGAAGTGTGCGACGGTCGCCCATGTGATGTTGGCGAGACCGACCTTGGTGGTGGTATCCCGAGGTCGACGTGGCGGATCAGGTGGAGTCGTCAGCACGAGGATGACTTGGTGTGTGCGTTGTGCAGGTGACGAGGCTCAGCACGCCAATCATCTGCGCGCACCTGCGAAGCCGGTGCGATGCTGTTCTGCGGGAGCAACGCTGGCACGCCGTCGACCTGCAGCGTTGGCACGCCGTCGACTTTGCACTGCTGGAGCGTGGTCGACCAAGTCGTGCTGGAACGCGGTCGACCATGCTGCGCTGGCAGTCGACCGACCTGAATGCTAGCTCTGATGTAGTCTTGTCTTGCCAACCTGAATGCACCATTGTTGTCAACTTTCTCTAGTGAAACTCTTGCCAAATTACCCCGTGGTCTAGCAAGCAGTGTGTGCACTAGGAAAACGACTAAGGAACAACGAACGCAGAGATCACACGAGCACCCGTGCCTAGCCCGTGGTCTAGCTCCTGTTGTAGTAGTTATCTCCGCATGGTGCGGTGAGCGTGGACGGCACACGACTTACCTTTCAGTCAGGTCGACGTAGACATCACTTACCTAATTCGTTGTTGTAGGCCGGCAGCTGTGCGGTAGTCACTATGGTAGGAGCCGTAGGTGACGCAGGGGTGGTGGACACCCTAGAGGCACGGCTGGAGAACGCGAGGAGAAAGCACGAGGCCAACGAGTATGGCGACCTGCCTTGGGCAGTCGTCGAGGCTGGACTCCGCACCATGTGGGCGACGGAGCACCCTTCTCGACCTGCCTCTCCTCGACCGGTACACGACGAAGTCGGCGTCGACATGGGCGTCAACGCTGGTGGTGGTCAAGTCGGCAGCAGTGCGGGAGGCACGTCGAGGCAGCGAGGTGTGATACACGCCGGTGAAGCCGGCGGCGTTCAGGCGCAAGGGATGCAGTCGTCGGCGGTTGCAGGCTCCTTGCAGGGTGACGTCGGAGGTCGACGAAGCGGATTGTCGCCGATGTCGGCGACCCAGGTGACGGCGGGCAGGATTGCACCGAGCTACGGCTACTTCAAGTTTACGCCGGACATGATCTTGGTCACCCCGCCGCTCGTTGGTCGACCAGACATTCTCACCTGGAAGGAAGCCATCGAGTCCCAGCTGGAGATGGCCGGGCTGATCGGCTTCGCCCGAGGGACCGTGGCGACGCCGGAGGAGCACCACGCCGACTTGCGTGCGGAGTTCCGCGCCGTGCAGCTGTTGACCTTCACGGTCATCTCGCGGTGCTGCTCGCCAGGCGTGCAGATCGCCCTGAAGTGGTGCCGAGAGTACCTCGACGCCGGCCACCGGGCGTGGCACTTTATCGAGTCGACCTACCAAGTCACCGACGACTTGTTCATCGCCCAGCTGGAGGGGCAGCTTACGCACCTGCGTATGGGCGACGAGGAAACGACGACCGACTACTGCAACCGAGCCCGGCGAATTCTTGCCACCATCAGGATGGCCGGCGCGCAGTACTCGACGGCGTCGTACGTCACCCACGTCATGCAGGGAGTCTCGAGCAGCTACAACCTCCTGAAGAGGCTGTCAATGGCGCCGAGCACGAGGACGACGCTCAACGAGGACAACTTGACCTCGTACATCCTGCAGGACGAGGCGATGCAGGAGGCAGAGCGATCCCAGGAGCTCTTGGTGCAGGCAAACTACGTCGCCCCGGCGAAGCAAGGAGGTCAACCGGGGCAGCGCGGACAGTCTGGCGGCGGTGGTAGCAGTGGCTGGAAGCCGGCCAGGGAAGTCGACAAGAAGAAGTCGACCAAGGACAGCGGTCGAGGAGGAGGAGGTCGACGTCGGGAGTGCTGGCTGTGCGGCGACCCCGACCACCTCTCCTTCGAGTGCCCCCACCGCAGTGACTCCGACAACGACGACGCCAAGGGAGGTCGTGGGAGGTCTGGCAGCCGTCATCCTCGTAAACAAGCCGCGCAAGGAGAAGCAGTCGACCACGTCGACCTCGGCGAAGGACGCCGACTCCTCTGCGGGCGGCAAGGCGTGGGACGACAAGACGGCGTCGTGCTCGCTCGTCGGCGTCATGGAGCCGACCGTCTCGCTGGCGCCGGAGGCTGGGGAGGACTTCCAGGCGGTGGCGGCAGCTGTGCAGGCAAACCCGGCGGTGGTCCTGCTTGATAGCGGCTGCTCCCACCACCTGATGGGGACGAAGGAATTCTTCGTCGACCTGCAGCCGAGCGGCTCCATCAAGCACGTGCGCGGCTTCAATGGGGCGCTGCAGGACGTCCAGGGCCGCGGCACTGTCGCCCTGCAAGGGGAGCCGGGAAGCAGGTGCTCATCCCCGACGTGCTGTACGTCCCGGGTGTGCGGGCAAACCTGCTGTCGTCCGGCCAGCTGAAGGAGCACGGCGTGAAGCTGCAGGAGGACGGCGACGGGATGCTGCTCGTCTCGGCAGTGGGAGAGGTGCTCGGCCGGGCGACGTACTCCGGGCGTGTCCTCTGCACCGACCTGCGTCCCTGCTCAACGAGGTCGACGTCGCCCACGCCGGAGGTCGTGGCCCTGCGGGCGATCGTCTCGGTGACGAAGTCGACGCCGGACAGGCTGCATGCCCGGCTTGCACACGTCGGCATGGACACCATCCGGAGCTCGGCGAAGCACGAGGTCGCCACTGGGCTGGACCTCAAGTCGGCGTCGGGCGCCGACTCATCGTGTGTCTCGTGCGTCGGCGGGAAGCTGGCGCGGCACACCTTCCCCGACCAAGGCTCCGGCGCCGACGACGTGCTGGCCGTCGTGCACATCGACCTGTGTGGGCCGTTCCGCATGGCTGCCAAGGACGGCAGCTTGTACTTCTTGCTGCTGAAGGACCGCAAGACCCGCTACGTGTGGGTGAAGCCAGTCGCCAAGAAGTCGGACGTGCTGCTGGAGTTCCAGAAGTGGCTGGTGTTGGTGGAGAGGCAGGTGCAGAAGTCGGTTCACCGACTTCGTGGACAGCAAGGGTATCGTCCACGACCTCACCTGCCCGTACACCCCTCAGCAAAACGGCATGGCGGAGCGGGAGATGAAGACGGTGGTGGATTCGGTGCGGACGATGCTACTGCACATGGGCGTGCAGCACCACTGGTGGCAC